GCATGTGGGCTGAATACTGCCAGGTTGCCCAGGCCAAGGCACGTGAATTTTCTTGAGGAATCCACAACCGCGGCCTTCAGCTAGCCAAAGCCTGACCCGCAAGGTAGCAGGGCAGTTTGTAAATCACAATCCGTTGGGAGACGGTGCCCAGTTCACCGGATCATACGCCCTTCGGACGGGGTCAAACGTTCAAGGTGCCCGATCGAGCCGGTGACCATTGTGGTTCGTACCCTCTTCTTGGTTTGGAATCAGGGTTTTTGGCCAACTCCTCTAGGTGAATTATCAGTGGTTCACCAACCCGGTTATAGCCCCGAATGTTCGCTATTTGTTCTCTCACTTTGGTGGGAAAACACCTTCACCACGAGGAGGCAGGGAGAAGAGCTTCCTCAGTAGAGGCTATTTGAGACACTTGATCGTATGGGAGCATTTCACGGAGTGCAAGGGAGGAGTGACCAGCCGCAATTCGAGACATCCACTCCCGACCATACTGACGCTTTGCTTGAAGGAAAAAGACTGGTGAACAGTAAAAGTTTTGCATTCTCGTGTTTTTTTTACTATTTGCTTGTCTCACACCTGTCTTACCCGCATTTTCAGCTTCCTTTCCATGTCCACTCCTCGCTCAGTGGAAACGAAAATAACGGATACAGTGGACAAAATCACCAAAGGTCTTGGGGAGTATTTTCGGTTAGTTCACAAACTAGTCGTCTAACTTAGTGAATACAGAAAAAATGTGAACGCATCTTGTAAAAAAGTGCGCTCTGCTGACGAGGCTTGGTTTGACGAGGTGCTCAATGAACTGATTCAGGATTTCCAAGCAAAATGCTCGGAACAAGCACGGAGTGTGCTGAAAGAGTACTCGGTGGCCGAAAAGAGTGCACTTATCACACAAGCAAACACCGAGTTGCGAGTCTCCAAACCCTGGTACAATGTCATTATTCACAATCTCTTTTAGTTCATAGGTCCCCTTCAGGAGATCCGGAGAAGGATGCACGAGCACATCTTTTGGTGCACGATATTGAACATGCAAAGCAGATCTCTCAGACTGTGCTTGATTTGCATCGTCATTTGCGTCCGAAACTGACTGAACTCCGTACCAAACGGCGTCAAGTGAAAGATCAGTATGCTCAGTTGCAACTGCTTGCGCGACAGATAGAAGAGGTAAGTGGACTGTTTTGTCGTATCGAAATCACAGCGTTATGCGTGTTACGTGTACGATTTATTATCATCGTCATCGTACAGCGAAATACAGTGAAGCGAACTTTACTGATCGCTGCCAAACTCGAAATGCATACAAAGTTAGTGGTAAAATTTAAGGTGGACAGGGAGTGGACCTACTTTGAGAGAGGGAGAAGAAGGTGAACCACTATGGTCAACACGCAAAGTACGCAATCGAACTCTGCATACATGCCGTTTCAAGCAATCTGGCCTGATAAGAAACGACAATAAGAACGCCACTGCTGTCGGTTCGCTACCATATCCCTCAATGTCTCCAACCAACCGGCTGTGGAGTCTTTCGGACCCCAACCTGGAAGGCGAGAGGCACCTACTCTACCTAATGGATCTGTGCATTTCTTCATGCCTCGTCTCCACGTTATCTGTTGACCTCCACGTGGTTTCCTCCAACCCGGATTAGCTACAGCGAACAAGGCGCGGTGCGGCAGACGACAGCTGGGCATACGCAATACGTGCCCTTGTCAGCGAAGTCTACTAATCTGAATTCGGTGTTCTAGCAGGTTTATACCTGATAGACTCCCAAACCTGTTCGCTCCATCCCACGTGGGCTAAACTGCGTAAACATCGATAATCGAAAACTTCTGGTCAATGGATGTCTTCTGCTCGTAAATTCAAGGTTTCACAGTCATAAAGCACAACTGAACGAACAGTGGCACAATATACACGACTTTTCAGCGTTAGTTAAACGTCGCATCTACCGCAAAGGTGTT